AAATTACTTGATTGTACACTTTAAAGACTCTAGAATAACTCATTTTCCAGCTTAGGTGTGACGGGTGGAGCGTCTACCCTTTCGCCGTCCCCTAAAGAAAACTCTGGCTAAACAGCACAGCAGATTGTCAAACATGCGTGCGGAGAAACCTCGGCCGCAAACGCACCACTAGCGAGCCGCCAAACGCGGCTGTGAGCGCCACAGTGACGTCACCGCACTCGGCCATTCTTCTTCGTCGGGAATTCCCCCCGCCGGCCGACCGACTCCACGGCTGCGCCACTGCGAGCCATCCTCCGCCTTGCACCCCTTTACCCACGAGCAGGCACTCCAGCTTTACGACTGGACAACGCCAACTTTTTTTTTTACGGCGAGGACCGGCCGAGGGGATGTGGGGTCGGCGGCAAGAGGGGGAGGGAGTGGGGGAGATGAGGATGCACACGCGTGTCACGGTGGAAGCAGCGCGAGAGCAGAGGGCAGGACGACGAGGACGGCGACGAGGAAGCGACGCCAAGAGCCTCGTGTAAAGTGGCGGCACTCGGGTGCCCCCCCCCTTTTTTACTCCCCCACCGCGTCGGGCCGCCCTGCGACTCCGATCGCCTCCACTTCCGATCACTTATTCAGCCTCTTCGGTAATGACTGCCGGCTTATTAAAGCCGTGCACCTCCGCGAGCGCCACTCCGAACGGCGCGGAGAAGGGTGGCCGGAACGGGAGGGGCGGAAAAAAGGGGGAGGGGGAACCTCGTGCCGGTCGCTGGACCGTGGCCTGCTGGGACCTCGCCGTGTGTGTGTGTGTGTGTGTGTGTTCGTGCACCCAACACCTGAACAGCCGACCTCCTTTTTATGGCCCTCTCCGTGAAGGTCAGTCTCTGTCGTGTTTGTTCCGTGCGTCTTACTGTGTCGTGTTCGACGCCAGCGCTGCAAGGCTTTCACCATTTCGGACAGAAGGGTGGTGTCGATTTCATCTTACAAGGGGGAGGGGAAAGGGCAGAAGGCAGACGCCCCTCGAGGAAGGGGTTGGGGCGCCGCTCCTTCCTTCTTTCCTGCTCACTCGACAGAAACGGAATAATTAGTGCTGAAAGCAGACAGCGCGCTCTCCTGGACGGCCGCAGCCAGCCAAGCAGCCAGCCAGGCAGCCAGGCGGCCGGACAGGCAGGGCAGCCAGCCGGGGCGGCTAGGCAAGGCAAGGCAAAGCAATAAGGCTTTGCAGGGCAGACAGCCAGAGACACAGCAAGGAGCGTGTTTTTAATTTGGTCTGGCTTTGTACGGCCAAGACGAGAGGCGCGCCGTGCGGCGTGCCGGCACACTCGCGGACCCCTTTGCGCCCCGTGGGCCCCGTGGGCCCTTTAGGCCTCGAGTGGACGGACGCGAATGCCTCCCAACTACATATCTCAGAGCAGGTAAAAATTAAAACAAAAGAGAAAAGAAAAACAATTCTGTTTTCTTTGTCGTCTCGTTGACAATCGTCCGTTTGTATGATGCTTTTTGGAGGGAGAGTGTCTTATTGTTAATGTGCGAAGTGAGATCCAACACCCGGATTGGAAACTCGATGTGTAGACAACACTGACAAAATTTTCCTGGATATTCACAACAAAACATTTATAGTGCGTTCGGATATTTGTTACTTAGTCATGTTTTTGGGAGCTTCTCAAGGCTGCGTCACGTTTTGCGCGGGGATCGTCTCCGAAAAAAAAAGTGGCGAGGAAATAAAAACAGAGGGAGTGGGCGGGGCTTGGCTGATATAGGAGTTGTGCAGCAGCGGTAAGGGAGACGGTGGGGCTTATGGGGGAGAGCAGAACCTGAGCGGCAATATCAGGCCTGGAGGCGGCAGACTTACTGGACGAGACATGTGTGTGTGTGCGTGTGTGTGGAGGGGGGGAGGGGGGAAGCTCGCGTTGGCCTGAGTGTTATGGCCGCTAAGTGAGGGCCAAGCCGTAACGCCGCTAGACACGGCGCAGGGCGCCTGCCCGCCGCCGGGTAGGCAGTCCCGCCGCGCTCGGCAGCCGGCGCGTGGCCTACCCTCGACTTCACAGGCGCTCCCGGCGAGACAGTCGCCCATCGCCGATGACATTTAAAATCGTGCAAAGAGCATGATACGGGAAGCGGCAGGTCCCGGGTTCGGGACCGGTAGTATAGACAATTTTTTCGGCGACCAATTGCTTGGGGAGGTATATTCAGAGAAAATTGAGTACCAGCGCAGGCAGGGCGGGTGCCATGGCGTCCCGGTGGCTCAGTGGTTAAGAGCATGTTGTGGGAAGCAGCAGGTCCCGGGTTCGGGACCGGTAGTGTATACAATTTTTTCGGCGACCAATTGCTTGGTGAGGTATATCCAGAGAAGATTGGGTACCGGCGCTGGCAGGGCAGGTGCCATGGCGTCCCGGTGGCTCAGTGGTTAAGAGCATGATGCGCGAAGCAGCAGGTCCCGGGTTCGAGACCGCTCAAAGCACCATTTTTTCGGGACCAGATTTCTCGAACGGCAGCTCAAGAGGAGTAGCGACATCGCCGCTGACAAGCTGGTTCGGTGGCTGAGCGGTCAGGGTAGAGGAGTTGACTAGAGTCGGCACTCGGGGTCGCGGGTTCAAATACCCAATGTGACCCCTCTGAGGTAAGGCCTCTGAATCTGGACTCTCACTGTACCACAGAAACCGCGCGCACTTCGGGTGGGCCAGCCTAATACGAACCCACTAATCTGTCGAATTGCGCGGCAGGGAGCGTCGGATGAAGGCCCGGTTCCCATAAGAACACCGAAGCTGATCGGCGGGTCTCCTTGAGACTTTCGTATTGCCACTTTTTGCCGCCGATTTTTTCGTTTTTTTTGTTGAATATTTTTATTTAAGTTTTTATTAGGTAGGCGAAATAAAGGTAGGCCAAATAGACAGGTAGGCGAACATTTAGGTAGGAGAAATGAACAACTCCCCATCACTCGGAAAGTAGTTTGGAGTTTTTAAAGTGGAATAATTTTACCCTCCATGCCCGCCGCGCCGCTCCCAGCTGTTCTTCTTCGCCGCGAATTCATGTGCGCGCCATGCGGAGATTCACGACCGGTGTCGTCCTCTCTGTCCCGTCCGCGTCCCCGAGGTTTTTTAAAGGCACTATCTGCAGCCGCCTGCGCTGCACGTGTGTCGCCTGGTGTGTGTATGTGTGTGTGTGTGTTTGTGGGTGCCCCGACTTTTCCAGTGCATTGGCTGTGTGTTGCTCCCACTGCGGTCAGAGTCTGCATGGCTGAGTCCTACCAGCGTGGCACGGCACAGTGGGCCAGAAGACCGGTGGAGGCGGTCAAAACTCTAGAAGCGTTTTCAGCTCCAGAGTCGCCTCACAGGACCCGAAGCGAGCGTGTGGCCCCACCAATGGATTCCTCGTTCGGAGAGCAATCCATTGATGGGTTCGGTTCGAGTACTGTTGAGCGACTCTGGTGCTCAAAACGCGTCCAGGATTTTGACCGCCTCCACCGGTCTTCTGGCCCACTGCGCGCGGCGACAACGGAGCAATGTCGAGCCGAAGCGAGGTGAACGAGGCCCTCCTCCTCTACACGCCCGGAAGGCACATGTCCAAAAGGCGCCGCACGACGACCTGGCAGTGCTGGCACACCGCGCGCCGTGGACAAGAGCGGAGAGGGAGAGAGAGACACGAAAAAAAAGGGAAAGAAAGAGAGGGGGATAAAAAAACGGGGACGTCGCACCGCAGAGGCGGCCAGGACACAGCCTGGCACCGCATATGGAAATCTCGGCAGGCAAATGTGTGCGGATGGGCTGAGGTGCCGCGACGTTTTTACTCCTAACTCAGCGGCCGCCCCGCCCCGCCCCGCCCCGCCCCGCCCCGCCCCGCCAGCTCCTCCTCCCTCCTCGTTCATTCTCCGCTTGGCACGGCGAAAAATGAACGTCACCGCCAGGTTCCCCCAGCACCGCGCTCGCCCATATACCACCGGCACTTACTTGCTGGAGCCACCAGCAGCAGCCTCAGGCAGCCTCCGGGCGGGCGTGCCGCTGGAGCCTGGAGCCCGCCTGGAGGCTGCCTGGAGGCTGCCTGGAGCGTGACTCGCGGAGTGGCACGGAGTGGCACGGAGTGGCCTCGGAGGGGACTGCATTTGTAAAACAACACCCCGCAAGTGGCGCTGCCGCGCTGCGCGCCGGGGGGCCAAGGCGCCCCGCCCCGTGACTTGGCACTGGCAACCCCTTCGCCCGGCGCTCCGCCGCGCTCCGCCGCGCTCCGCCGCGCCGTACCGTGGCCGCAGCCACGCCGAGCGAGCGCGCCCCGAAATTAAAAGGTGGCTGGGCGGGGCGCCTCTCCATAAGTACCCCGAACGTCCCGGCCGGCCGCGGAGCATTTTACGGCGATGTCTTGATTCATCATTCATGAACCGGGACGCGGTGGTGGTGGTGGTGATGGTGGCCGTGTTGGTGATAGTGGTGGTGGTGAGGCCCCTTCGCGGTCCCACCAGAGAAATACGGCGGCGCGTTTTTAAAAGTAACGTCATTTCGCCGCCCCCTGGCCGTGCTTCGCCGCGCTTTCCTTGCCGCCGCCTGCAAGCGAAAGCCAGAAAGCCTCGCGGATGCCAACCGCGGACCACATTATTTCTCAACCCCCCCCTCCCCTCCAACCCCCCACGCGATACTAGTCGTGGATGGAGGTATCAGGGCCCAAATGGGTTCTGATGCCGGTAAAGTGGGTTGCGGCGGACTGGGATAGGGACGGCCGGGCGAAAAGGGGGGGGGGGATAACCAGCTGACTGTCTCTATTATCTGCGGCTGATACTGACTCCGCCCTCCCCGCCGAAGCGTCTTACTCGAAGCTCGGCGATAGCCACTGCCTCAAGGCTGCTGCCACGCTCACGGTCACGTTCACATTCACTTCCGGTCCCCCCCCCCCCTCCATTTTCGTTTCGGCCACCGCCGTTACCCTGCGCGCCCCAGGCACCGTCTGGCAATCCCAGTGCCGAGGAGGCCGAGGAGGTCAGCAAAGGTTGCGAGAACCAGGGAACACGAAAAATGAAACGGCTCGTCCGGTAAATAGAAAACACGCCTCCGTCGTTTAATTTATTTTGAACCAAACGGACAGTAGTAACAATGATACAACGAGACATAGCGCGTCGGGTCACGAGCACAGCGTGACGACGCGCTACAGACATATTTACAAGTCATGTACAGTCACAGAGATAAGTCGAACAGAGTGGGAGCGGCAGCTCGATGGAGCAGTTTTCTCCTCTTTTCTTTCCTTGTCGCACAGCGACCGTCAAAGCGGGACCCCGGTTCGGTTCCAGCCGTCGCAGCGTGGAGTCGTCCATCGTAGAATGGACATTCCAGTCGATAACTCAACGTCCAGCACATGACGCCAGAGTCGACGTTATGCCGTCCACACACACAGTTACACACACTAACACTAGCGTTCTCTTTCTCTCACCGACTCACGCACACACACACGCCGACACTCATGTGTCACGCTGGGGGTCCATCAGCACACAGTCGACCTTTCACAGACCGGGGGTGGGTAATTAACCTGATTGGTTGGCACATGGAAGGATGCGCCATCTGGCGAGGAAAAGTAAAAAATAAAAAAAGAACGAAACAACAACAGAAACTTTGACAACACAACATCAACGCGCGCGCAGGTGTTCGATTGAGCGCTGTTCAGTTTATATCCTCTCAAGAGGCGCCGTTCGAGCTCCCCCAGCTGCCCTCTCGCTCTCGGGCCCGGCCGGCCCGGCCCTGAGGTGCCTGCTCTCAGCTCGGGTAGAAGTCGCCGCCGCTGTAGCGCCTGGCCAGGCCGGCCAGGCCGGAGCGCGGCACCCAGTAGGGGTGGTCGGGGCTGAGCGGGTTGAGCCCCAGCGGGACGCCACCCGACTGCGCGCCGCCCGCCAAAGTAGCCTTCTTCTTGAGGATGGACTTGGGGTTGGCGCCGGACAGCGAGTCGCACGTCTCCTTCATCTTGGCCAGCTCGCTGTGCAGCGTGCGGTACTCGTCCAGGAAGCGCTCCAGCTGCGCGGTGTGGTAGTCGTAGCGGTCGTACTTGTCGAACGAGCCTGGCGACGCCACGCCTGCCACGCCCTGCGAGTACCTGCCGACCAATTGGCCGTGTCATTCCACGTTCGCGTCATGGTCGCGAGAGCCAAAACAAAACACCAGTGGCTGATTCCAAAAGACATTCTCGTCGCTGTCTCTCTCCCACCGTCACAGGCCGCCCCATGAGTGCGAGAGAGACAGAGCGACCAAGACGACTCTCTGAACCAGTCAGCAGCAAGCAAAGTAAAAAGAGAGGCACCTCTTGGAGGACGGCCCGTTGAGGCCGGCCAGGATGGGCGTCTCGCTGGGCCGGTCCCTGCTGGGGGACCCCGGCAGGCTGGGGTTGCGGCGCGATGGCCGCGTCGCCGCGCCGTGCGCCGCCGGGCCGTGGGGCGAGGCCGCCGCCAGCGAGGTCCCCGCCAGCGAGGGCCCCGCCAGGCTGAGCGACGACGACGACCTCTGGTGGAGCAGCGGGTACGCCGCGCCGAGGCCCGACAGCCCCGAGGCCGCGAGCCCCGAACTCGAACTGCCGCCCGACGACCCGTACCTGAGTGAGTAAAGAAGAGGGTGCGAGGGTTTACGCCGCACGGGAATTCTCCCGGCACTACACTGAGAGAAGCAGATGAAGCACGAACCTCGAGTCGGCCAGCAGCGGTGACTCGGAGCCCCGCCTGCTGCCGTGGCCGCGGTGGCGGTGCGGCCGCCGAGGCAGGGTGCCCCACAGTCCCGCGCGCAGCCCGCCGCCGAGGCCGCCACCAAGGTCGCCGCCAAGGCCGCCGCCGAGGTCGCCGCCGACGCTGCCACCGAGGCTGGGCGGCAGCGACTCGGGCTGCGGCTGCAGCAGGTCCGGGAAGGGGCGGTCGTCGGCGCCGTCGTCGCCCAGCAGCGACGTGTACAGGCTGCCCCCGCTGTCGCCCAGCACCTGCACACGGCAACGCACACCGTCACGAACCGGATCCACAAAGGGTGGCGAGGTCGAAAGGTAGTTGCGCAGAGAGCAGCGCAGGATTAAAAACGCTACACAGTAAAAAGTGCTACGTCAAAGTGACGAAGACGTCGGTATTTTTGTCAACCACAGAGGTATTTTCCCGGTACGTAGTGCACTACGAAAAATAAACCTACCAATTACTACTTTTAGTCAATACTTTCATTTTTCGAGAGAGCACAAGGAGGGCCCGGGCCGGGGCCCTCGCGACGACGCTCACCTTCTTCCTCATGACGTGGTGCCGCGGCCCGTCGGGGACGAGGCCGTTCCGCGGCAGCAGCAGCGGCGCCAGCCTCGACTTGGCCGCGGACTTGGCCTCCGCCAGCGCGGCGCCGTCCGCGGGCAGCCGCGGGACCGCGTCCACCTCGCGGGGGGCCGCGTAGCTCCTGTGGCAGGCGAAGACGCGGTGAAGCAGGGGGCACAGTGGGCCAGAGGGCCGAGGGAGGCGGACAAAATCCCAGACGGGTTTTTGAGCTCCAGAGTCGCCAAATGGGGCTCAAACCGAACGTGTGACCCCACCAATGGATTGCTCTCCGGACGAGCAATCCATTGGTGGGGTCGGTTCGAGTCCCCCATCATAAAGGACGCCGTTCATGTCGCCGAGGGTGTGACGCCGACAGTGAACTAGACGCTCCCCACCTGATCCCTCAAGCCGCGCACCAAAGCGAGAAATGCGAGGCGTGCGTACTTCGCAGCTTCGCGACTCCACTTGAATAATTTCGAGCCTAGTGGCTGCAGACGGGGCAAGTCCGCGCCGCTCTCGCTCCACGCGGGGCGGGGCGGGGTTCGGTGCGGTCGGCGGTTCGGTTCGGCGCTGCGGCACCGCGCCACCCAGCGCTTGATGAATAGAGTGCGTTCCATCTGGAAGACGCCCCCGCCCCCTGCCCCCGCCCCCTGCCCCCGCCCCTGCCCCCGCCCCACCCCCATTGCCTTCCTCCCTCGTTCCCCCGTCCGCAGATAGCAGTAGAGGGAAGGTGTGATTTATTAGAATAATCAGGCCCCGTTCGAAACACGCCAGGCTCATATCCACGGCCGCGGAGCAGGCCAAATTAATGCACCACGCTCCCGCCGCGCCACGCGCCACCACGCGCCGCCACGCCCCGCGGAAACTACTCGAGATTTTAGATCCAATTAATTATCGCAGATCCGGCCGGCGGCGTGGAGGAAGGTGCGGGGTCACGTGCTCGATGGCGTCCTGGCGCAAAGTTGCCGCCTCCGCCAAGTTGGCCCTGCCTCTCGGTGCTCGTCGACGCCGTCCTCACCTGGCCTCGGAGTGGTGGCTGCTGAGTGTGTCGTCCGAGGCACCGCGCGGCGTGGGGATCCACGGGCCGCCCGCGTTGCTCGCCGTCGGCGTCATCTCCACCTCGGCGTCGTAGCCCACCTCGTCCACGTCGTCGTCCTCGTCGTGCGTCGGCACGCCCCGGTAGCGCCCCTTGGCGCCGCCGCGGCGGTGCAGCACCGCCATCTGCAAGCAGGTCGACATCGAGGACACGCGATACTACAGCGCGCCCGACGGCCCCGTGGGGAGGGGGAGGTAGGCGGAAAGGGGAGGGGGGAGGCCACCGCAGTGCGCCTCCTCAACTTTGATCGCCATGCGTGAAATCGGTGAAAATGGGAGGGAGCTGTGGGTGACGACACCGCGCAACCCACCCGGCCCGTCCATCAACTACGTCACACTCTAGACCGTGGACGGGGAGGGTCAACAAACCTCCCGTTGCGTGCGGCGCGTATCGGCGATAAGAAAGATTCGGTTGGAACGGGGCGACGGAGAGGGACCTCTCTCTAAGGGTGTCGGAAACGGCCTTTCTGAAATGATTGCAGCTTCCCCTACCTCCGCCTCCTTCCTGTCGGCGACGTGGTTCACGCTGCTGGTGGCGGTGCGCGGCTGCGGCGGCGCGGCCGGCTTGTGGTTCATCATCTCGATCTTCTCGTAGTGGTTGGCGTCGTCGGGCCGCAGCCGCGACATGCGCGCGCCGCCGCGGGCCTGCTCCACCCACAGCGAGTGGCGCTTGCGCAGGCTCCAGAGGCAGAGCGCCACCAGGCAGGTGGACAGCACGAAGAGCAGCGCCACCAGCACGCTGGCCGCCACCACCTTGCCGGACAGCGGCGCGTCCTGCGGGGCGGCGCGCCGACTCACGGACAGCGTCACGCTGGCGTCCACCTTGCCGGCGCGGTTGTCCGCCACGCACACGTACACGCCCGCGTCCTGGGCGTCCAGCGCCACGATCGTCAGGTTGCTGGTGTTGGTGCCGTTGCGCACCAGCAGCGTCTTGCGGTGCGGCAGCGCGAAGGCCTGCGTGGCGTTGGCCACGGCGCGGTTGCGGAACAGCCAGCGCACCGTGGGGCTGGGCGCGCCCTGCACGCGGCACGACAGCGTCACGTTGTCGCCCTCGGCCGCGTGCTTGGCCGCCAGCAGCGCCTCCACGCGCGGCCCGCACGCGAAGTCGTCCAGGTCCAGGCGGTCCCAGCCGCGGCCGCGCAGCCGGCCCGGCGCCACGCACACGGCCGGCACACTGGACGGCACGTTCTTGCGCAGCATCCTGGGGAAGGCCGACCCGTCAGTCACAGTCTCCGTCTCGCTCGCACTCATGGGGCGCTCCAAGGGGTGCGAGAGAGACGGAGCGACTCACCAGTTCCGGAAGGGCCGCAGCGCGCACGTGCAGTTCCAGGGGTTGCCGTCCAGCTCCAGGCCGTGCAGGCTCTGCATGTCGGCGAACGCCTCGGGCCGCACCGTGCTCAGGCGGTTGTGGTCCAGCTTGAGCCACTCCAGGCTCTTCTCCAGGCCCAGGAAGGCGCGCGCCTCCACCGAGGCGATCTTGCAGTCGGACAGCTCCAGACGCACCAGCTGCGGCACCTGCAACAACGCGACGTCCACGTCAGAGTCCAGGGTGCCGAACAGCGACTCCGGAGCTGAAAACGCGTCTAGAGTTTGGGCCGCCTGCGCCGGTCTTCTGGCAAATCCACTGGACGCCCTTGCCTCACCTTGACGAAGGCGTTGGTCTGCACGCGCTGGATGGGGTTGCCGCTGAGGCGAAGCTCCCGCAGCTCGGCGATGCTCTCGAAGGCGTGCGACGGCACCGTCTTCAGCTCGTTGTGGCTCAGGTCCAGCTCCACCAGGTTGATGAGCAGGCGGAAGGCCAGGGCGTCGATGGCGGCCAGCCTGCACCGCGCCAGGTACACCTTCTGCAGGTTCACCAGCCCCGCCGACGCGAACGTGTCCTTGCCCAGGCTGGCGATGGCGTTGCCCGTCAGGTCCAGCAGTTGCGTCCCTGGCGCACGGAGAAGGCAAAATTTGGCAGGCCGCCTCCTCGGGGTGCTCTCAACGACGTGTTCGGGTACTCACCGCCGTCAAGGCCTTTGGGCAGCGCCTTGAAGTTGGCCCCGCGGCAGATGGCGGACTCCTTGCCGCCGCGCCACTTGCACTCGCAGTGCTGGGGGCAGTCCGCCGCGCCCGCCACGGCCACCGCCAGCAGCAGCAGCAGCGTCAGGCACCGGGGCAGGCACCGGGGCAGGCACTGCAGCATGCTCGGGCCCCCCGCCGGGAGCCCCCGCAGCGCCGCGGCGCCAGGCCCCGGCCTCGGCGTGGCCCCGGCCTCAGGCAAGCCGCGGCCCCGGCCCAGGGAGCCTCAGGGCTGCCATCGGGGGCCATCCGCGCCCCGCTCCTCGCGCAGGCCGTGCTCACGGCCGCGGGCCGCGCACCACCACGGCGAGGGCCTCGACCATGGCGGCGGCGCCACCACGGCCCGCGACCACGGGCGCCGGCGCGGCATCACGCCACCATGACGGCCTGCAACACCACGAGGCACGGCGGTCAGACGCGCAAGACATAAAGACAGCTAATGTGCAGGGGAGTCGTCGTCGGCGACCCCGCGGGACGGACGTCACCGCTCCGACCCACGTAGCCGCAGCACTGCAAACAGAACGGACGGGCAGACCGCAGCACTACAGGGAACGTCCTTTAATCAGCCCTAAAGAGCGCGGCGTGGTTCATCTTATTGGACAGACGGATTTCGCATGGACAAGGTTGCGGGTCTCCGTCACACCCAAGGCCGCGGCGACGAAATTTAGCCAACGAATAGGCGTCCTTGATGCTGCCGCGCAAGAGAGCGAGAGAGAGGGAGAGAGAGAGTTACGAGGCACGCGGGCCCACCTCGCGTGGCGAAAGTAGTTTCTTTATTTCTCTTCCCGTTTCCGGGCCGTCGCGCGCGGGCCGCGCCGTCCTGCGCCGCACACTGCAGGCGGCCGCTGCACTCTGCCAAAGTACCGCGGGGGCAGCGGTAGCGGCGGCATGCACTCCGGGCTATTGCTGTGGAGATGCACCGCGTTTTGAGAGAAAACGGCCTTGCGTGTGAGTGTGTGTGTGTCTATGTGAGTGTGTGTGTGTCTATGTGAGTGTGTGAGTGTCTATGTGTGTGTGTTTGGATGTGTGGATGCAGTGAGCGTCTATTTGCGTGTCTAGCTGTGAGTGTGTGTGTGTTCAAGTGAGAGGGGGAAGGAAGGCTTCTGCTGTTATCAGTCACAATAAGGACGCGGGCCCGTTCTGCGAATATCGACAAACACGGCGAATAAGCGCTGCTCTCGAAAAAAGAAAGAGCAAAGTGTATTGTTAGTCGGTGGACCATAACATTGTCGGCGGCACAAAACGACAAGTGAAAGGCTATACCACTACAGAGAATGGGTTCGATAGGATTAATCATTTCTCTTTCCCGGCAAGCAAAGGTTTAAGACAGCGCTTTGTGGACAATGTTGTCACTAGCTCATTTTGTCACCGAATTGAAGTGCCAAACCGTGTATCAAACACATCACCTCCGACGGTTAGAGAGTCGACTGCTTTAGAGCCACTCAATTCGACCCAACGTAAATGGGTAGACTTCAAGTGACTCAGTGTAGACTTCAAGTGACTCTCGCGTTGCCAGCACAGCAGCCAGTCCAAACCAAAAATACGAGGCTGCTCCACTGGCGAAAGTGGGGCGGCACGATGTAAGTGCGGCTCAGCCAAGCGCGCGGACCAAGTTAGTGCGGCACTGTCCGCCGCGTCATCAACACATGGCCGCGCGCAGCTACGCGCAGCGTGCTCGCCGTGCCCGCCGCGCTCGCGCGTGGATGGCGCCCCTCCCTCCTGGCTTTGTCGCCCGCCCTGGCGGCCCTGGCGGCCCTGGCGGCCCTGGCGGCGCCCTCCCTTCCCATCAGGGATGCAGCGAGATGTGAGCTAACTTGTAAAGACAACACGGAGTCCGATGGAGGAGCCTCCGCCCCCCCCTAATTTCTCCTTTCGCGCGAGAGCCTTGGCTGGCACTACCCTCGACCTAACCCTTTGAGGCCCTCCTACCCCCCTCTCCCTTCACCCCAACTCAAGCTGCTCGACTTTGACCGAAAACTCAATAACAGTCCAAGTTTGAGTTGTCTGTCGACGCATTGTGACTCGGGGCGGCGACGCTACAGTGTGACCCCCGCCCAGTGGCGTGAGGCGATTCCCAAGCGACGACTTCTGTCTCTCTGTCCCTCTCCCCTTCCCCCTTCTCTCACTCTTTTCAGCGACTGTTGCGTTTTTCATGCGAGAATCGCGGTAATATCTGCCGGCCGCCAAATAAGTGCAACTAAGCCGCCTTTCGCGCGGACCGCCGTGGTAAAGCGGGAAAAATGGGGACCTCGACCCCGGCGTGCACCGCGTGCACCGGGCAGGCAGCCAGGCGGGCAGCCCGAGCAGCCGGCCAGCAGACTGACTCCGCGCAGCGTTTCGTCGCGGTCTCCCTTGCACCTACCAGGGACCTACCACAGTGCGAGCGAGAAAGCACTTCTCTGCGGCGGCCGTGGGGCGGCGCACCGCGGGAACGCAGCAAGCCGCCGCATGCGGTGCCTCAATAGCGCCTCTCATTAGGCCAACCGATAAGCACCTCGTCCTCCACCGCCAGATTCAGATTCAGGTTCAACCGCAATCCGTCGTCAGGCGCGCGCGCCGCAGCGCCGGCCGCTGCCGCCGCCTCCAAGACCCTCCCGGTCCGCCACAACGACGCCCCCCGACAGAGCCCCCGCGGGGCCCTTCCTGCGGCCGGCTGGCCTGGGCTGGCCGCCACTGCACCGTAAATGAGAAACTTTGGCGGCTTTGCCCTGGCCGCACGGCGCGCTGCTGCAGGACGACAAGAATGGCCCGGGCCGCGAGGACGGCGACGGCGCTCCGAGTTCGAGGCCGGCCAGATTGTCCGCGTGCAGCGTGTGTGTGTGAGTGTGTCACTCACGCTCACCCACACAGGCACACACAAGTGCACACTCACATTCACACACATGCACACACACACACACACTAACAATACACGTGCGCCCGCCGCTCTCCTGCAGGCAGTATGGCGTATGGTAAACTCCACAGTGCATGCATATTCGAGTGTGCACTAATTACACAAAGGTGAGATGAGAGGGAAAGGAGGGGAAGAAGAGGGTGGATGGGGAGGGGGCGGAGGCAGGTGGAGAGGATGGAGGGGGAAATGCACAGCCTGCTGTATAAGCAGCCATGGAGAGTGGTCTGAGTGATGGGGGTACTGGCGGGTACTGGTGCGGGTGCTGGTGCGGCTGCGTGTGCGGCCAAGTGTGAGGGCGGCCACGCGTGCGGCCACGCGAGCTGACACGCGAGCTGACACGCGAGCTGACACGCGAGCTGACACGCGAGCTGACACGCATGCGGCCACGGGAACGGCCACGTGTGCGGCCACGCGTGCGGGTGAACGGATTTCGGCGGGTCTGGGCGAAAGGGTTCTACCTGGAGGGGAGAAGGCCAGGGCAGAGAGGATCTCTAATTAATGGTGCTGCCCAGTGTCATCGTGCACCCCATTACCTTATCGAGTGGCGCCGAGGACGCCGACGTACTCGATCGTGTTCACAAGGGCCTGGAGCCGGGGTCGGGACCGTCGGGACGGAGGAGGGGGTGGGGGCCGAAATGAAGGCGTACCTGCTGAGCAATACGACTCAATAGACTGAATCACACAGCGTCCCTCGGCACACTTCATCGCACTCCATCCCTCTGCCGAACTCGCCGGACTCACAGACACGCACACACACCCAGAGACGCGTGCGACAGGGGCAGGGCCGCTGGCCCCGGCGCGCTCCACGCCGTCCACACCCACCGCGCTGGGTCCTGGGAGGGAGTGCCTCCCTGCGCCGCGCCCGGGCGGGGCCCTGCCGTTGGTGGGGCCTGCTAGGACCCGCCTGGTGGTGGGTACCTGCTGATGGTGATCCTGCGCTGGACCTGCCGCCGCACAGTGGGCCAGAAGACCGGCGGCGTGTTTTCAGCTACAGTCGCTTAATGGGACTCGAACCTAGCGTGTGACCCCACCAATGGATTCCTCGTTCGGAGAGCAATCCATTGGTGGGGTCACACGCTCAGTTCGAGCCCCATTTAGCGACTCTGGAGCTTAAAACGCGTCTAGAGTTTTGGCCGTCGGCGTGGGTCTTCTGGCCCACTGTGGTGATGGTGGTGGTGTGGCCCCTAGTGGTGCCCCTGGTGGTCCCTGACCGGCGCCACAGCTTGTTTGTCAGCTAAAAATAATTGCGCGAGGGAGGCCCGGGCCGCCATGCGTTGCGTTGCGTGTTTGCTGGCGCAATGTAAGGCGAGGCCGTCCCTCACGACGCCTCGGACGCAGCCCGGCCCGCGACGCCCCGCGGACGGCTCGCTCGGAGGCAGCCCCGCCCCCCAACCCGATGCGGGGCCGATCTGCATGCACACACGCTTCAATTTCGCACAGTTGTCGAAATAGACTAAGGCAATATTCGGCAGTCAGGCCGCGGTGGCGTTGCAGGGTAGCACGGTGGCGCGGAGACCGGGGGGTGGTAACTCACATGTCATGTTTCATGCATGAGAGACACCGCCCCGCCCCACTCCCCCCGCGTCGTAACGCCGGGTACCCGTTACGGGTCCGCGTTTTTCGGGGCCCGCTTGGGGTCCTTAGTTTCGCGTGTGGGGAGACCAGGTGAAATTGTGCGCCAGTTGAGGTAAACTTCGAGGTGACTCGGTCGCGGAGTTGCGGACCAAAGAACATTCAAATGAAGCTGATGCTTCCTGATTAACTTTCTGACGTGCTGCCTGGTGACTCTACCCCTCCCCCTTTTTCGTGCACCCAGTCATACACACACTGGGTCTCCTTTCCCTCCTCTCTCTCTCTCTCTGACAAACACACACACGCGCACACGCGCGTGCGGGCGACGCATTTCGCAGAAGTGGCTACTGTTGTTCCTGTTGCTGACACAATCAGTAGCTCCCCCCCCTCTCTCTCTCTCTCTCTCTCTTATCGCCTCTTCATTCGCTGGCCACTCTTCCGCGATCTCGGTTCTGCCTTCCTTTCTTTAAAGGAGAGGCCGGCAAAGAGGCGAGCCGGGAAAAGAGCGCAAAGCAAAAAGGGCAGCAGACACAATCCGATAGCAATGAGTATCGGCACAGCACAGCCTGTGCTGTGGATGACGCTCCGGAATTGCACACGAAGGAGGCGGCACAAAGCACTGCAACTTGTCTACCTGGATAACCGGCGAGAGAGAGAGA